ACACACACACATTTCCCTCTTCAAACCCCCCCACCCCCAGGTTCTGGACTTTGCTTCTGGTGCTCCCTTCTCAGAGGCTCATGCCAGGCTCTGTTCTAAGCAGAGGGGCTTGCCTGTCTCTCTCTTCCTCTCTCCTTGCTCCTAAGAAGCATCTGGGCCAAAGGTTCCCAGCCTGGGACCCCATCGTTGGGAAGACTGCCCAGTTTCGCTGCCCCCCAGTGCCCCTTCCCAGTCTTCTGAAAACCCTTCCCTTTCTGTTTATCTGACTTTCCTGGCTGCCGGCTCCCTTCTGCCCCAGGAGCCTTTCGTCCCGCGGGAACCTGCTCCATATTCTCAGCCTCCAGGGCCCCTTTCCTTCCTGTGCTGAGCTCTGAGCTGTGTTTCTCCATCAGTGTGGCCTGGTGTCAGCAGCCCTGCATGGCCGCTGATTCAATTGGGAGCAGGTCCTCATGAGGGTGGAGCAGGGCTAAGGGAACTTCAGCTGGAGAGTAACTGGCTTCCTCGGACCCCACCCTGACCCCAAAGTCAAGAGGGCCCACTAACAGCAAGTCACAGCACCTCCATGGGCCTTGGTTTCCGTTACCCGGTTCTGCTCGTTACCCGGTTCTGCTCGAGCCCCTGCAGGGATGGACGGGGAGTATATGCTGGCACCAGGCAGCCAGTTCACTACAGGACACCCCCTTCCTCCCTGGTACACTCCCTCCCTATAATACGCCCTGTTGTTTCCTGGAGCCAAAATAGTGATACCCCAGTCTGCCTTAAAGCCCTGTGATGCATGCAGGCTCTCTCCAACCCCGTTTTCACCAGGATGGGGAAAGAAATGAATTTCATGAGGCAGTGGAGACTGGGCCATTAAAAACAACAACAAACGATTGGTGTAAAACCTAAGGCCCATTTCACCTTGGAAATTCTGTCCTTGTGCCCTGGAGACTAATGCTGTAATGGCTCAAACTTACTGAACACTTACTGTATGCAAAGTGCATAATAAATGATTATGATTTCCTTAGGACAACTCAACTCTTATCCTCACACTACAAATGAGAGGTAAACTAGTGTCACTCGGGAGCGGGAGCCCTAACCACTGTGCCCTGCTCCTCCCAGACCTGCCCACCCCACAGGTGGGGCCAGCGCTCTTAACTTCTCGCTTTCCCTCACCAGCCCTTCTGTGACGGCTCCCACTTCTTCCAACGCACTGGCCTCTCCCCACTCAAGTTCAAAGTCCAGGAGACCCGAATGGTGGCCCTATGTACCTGCAAGGCCACTCAGAAGCCCCCGTACTGCGATGGCACCCACAGGAGCGAGAGGGTGCAGAAGGCAGAAGTGGGCTCCCCACTCTGAGGGGCGGCTGCTCATCAGCCCCAGGCCTCTCTGACAGGCACCCCCTTTGTGGGGAAGGAAAGGGCGTGCCGAGCCAAGAAGTGATCATCCAGGGACCCCAGTACCCAGCTGGTTTATAAAGGACTTACTCCCATAGCCTGAAGTCTCTAACCTGGGGCAGCCAGGAGAAGGTCCCTGGATTAGCACCTGCTGGTGGAGAAGGTGGCATTAAACAAGCCTGCCCATCCAGAACGGTATTCTTGTGGTCACTGGGGGGGGCACGGGGCATACCCCCGCTCTGGCTCCTAACCCTGGTCTGGGGGCACCAGACTGGCCACAGGAGAGAGGCCATTCTGGTTTATTCCATATGGGGTCTCCCAAGGCAGGCTGAGCCTAGAGACGAGAGGTACGAGGAGGCCAGGGGACCCACCCATCCTCTCCCTGTCCCCTCTGCCCCAAAGAACTAGAGGCTCTGGAGAATATGCAGCATTTATTACAAAGCCAGGAGATGCAAATGTCCCAGGGTAGGAGGAGGGTACAGTCATAGCACCTCAGACAACGGACCAGGTGCAAACACAGACAAACCCACTGGGGGAACCCAACCCAGACACCTAGGTTGTGACAGAGTCTTGCCTCCTCCCCGATCTGACCTATGTACATTGGGAGAAAACAGGTAGGCAGGGAGCTCCCGGGGCCTGCCCCTCAGGGGTGGTCCACTGACCTCTCAGGATGGAGTTGAGGACAGAGCTTACAAGTGTCTGTCTTGTGCTTTCAGATGCCCCCGAGGCTCTTTCCTGACTGGGCCTCAGCTGGGGGTAGGGAGAGGACTGGAGGGCTGTTTGCCTTTAGCAAAATCTGGGGTCTGTGCTTGTCTGAGGTTAACCCCACTCCACCTCTCCACTCCAGGTCCCCAAGTGAGACTTTACCACCAGGCTGGCTGATGTGGGTGCCTGGGTGGGGGTAGGGGGACCCGGGGGTGAAGTGGTTCACAATGCTAGAGCCACAGTGGGATGTCAAGGGCGGAGGCCTCCCATGGCCCGAATCTTCTCTTCCACAAGGAAAACGGTGCAAAGGCCACACACACAGGGAAAAAAAACAAAAAAGGACAGAACTAGCTACGCTTTGCACAAAGTTTCCACTGCATGAGGAGGAGGTAAGGGAGATACCATCTCCACCACCCGCTCGCTCCCCAAAACCAGGGGATAAACTGCATTTGTAAAAGGCACTGTCTTAGCAAGTCTCTGGACATTCAACATGAGGGGGTAGGGGGCTGGTTGGGTCAGGGCACGACAGCAGCCAAGATGGAGAGAGAGAGAGGGTGGACCCATCCACAGCCAGTTAAGAGTTGTGCCTAAAGCTTTGGGGGCTGGTGGGCCCTGCAACACCCCATCTGCCTTGGGAAACAGAAGGAGGATGGGGCAAAGCTTTACTGAGCCTCAAGCGGCCCCTCCAGTCCACTTTCAGGTACCCCCCAAAAATAGAGTAGAGCAAATTACACAAGACCCCTTCAAAATTAACACCCATCCCCTACATACACACACACACATAAAGTTTGTTTCCTGTGGCATTTAAATTAATCTGGTTGGTCCATAGAAAATAAGTATGTATATTTGGTTTTTCCTATGTACATATATATATAGAGAGAGATTTATTTATAAAACCCACCCCCCACCCCTAAGGTGGGAGGAGCTGGGGAAAGTAGAAGAGGTGGAAATAGGAGCCCAGAAAAAGTGGAGGGGTGGAGAGGCATGGCTGGAAGAGGAGGGAAAGGTCCCTTTCCTCAAGTTAAGGGGAGCACAGGAGCTCCATTGACAGTCATCTTGCGCCCCCTGCTGGTGGAGGATGGTGTCTGCAGGCAGTTCGAGGCGCCCCCGTTGGTAGCTGTGCTGACCCCACTGGCTGCTGAAGGGGGAGTGGGGGAGGTAGGATGGGTGGCTGGGGGCCCATGGGAGCTGGGAGAGCCATGGGAGGGGGTGGCTGGGCTGGGCAGGGAGGAGGAGGTGGCCGGCAGGGTGGCAGGGCTGGGAGCCTTGTCGCTGACTGACTCACACTCTGATGCCCCACTGGTGTTGGTGCCCTCGGAGGGGGTGGGTGCTGTAGGCAAGGTGAGCCGCTTGCAGGCTGGCTGGACCCGGTACTTGAGGGGGAGAGGGCCGTTCTGCAGGGAGAGTGGGGGGAGAGAGGCTAACCAGGCAGCCACCCACCTTCGCCCCCTCATGCCCAACGAGGAAGAAAGGAAAAGCTCAAGCCCTAGAGAGAAAGACCCAGCAGAGTAGGAGGACCGAGGGAAAGCGAGACCTCGCGACTGAGAGAGCCAGGCCGGAGAGCCAGGCACACAGACCCAGAGAGAACGTGTGAGACCAGAGACTGGAGAGAAGAGAGGAGGCCGAGCAGAAAGCAACATTTACTCCTCCACAGCCACCAGACCCCTCTTTCCCGACCCCAAACTGGGGCATGTCATCTGCCCAAAGATCCTTTTCTCCCGAGTGTGGGAGCTCCGTGAGAGAGAGCCCGAGGCGGGCTCCCCCGGACATGGCCAGCTCGTGGGACGAGAGATGAGCTGTCTGTCTGTGGTCAGAGCAGGGTGGCTCATGCGGTCCCTGTGGGCACAGACCAATGCCCGACCTGCAGGGGTCCCCTCCCAGCCCTGCTCACCCGCCGCCAGGGGTAGATGTAGGCGATGTCCATGAGGGTGTAGTATTCCTTCAGCGGCTCGTCCTCGTAAAGAACCTCCACCTGGACGAGGGCGAACACCACGGGCAAAGAAAAGGCCCAGGTGAGACGGGTCTGGTGGAGCACGGGCCCTCACCCAGGGAGCTTTAAAAAACGCCAATGCTCCGATCCAGAGCAGTGGTTCTCAACCTTGGCTGCACGTTAGAATCACCGGGGAATCTTTTTTAAAATCCTGATTTCTGGGCCTCATCCTCCGGAAATCCTGTTTCTTTGTTACTAATGTTGTGGCCTCATCCCAGAACAAAGAAACAGAATTTCTGGAGGGTGAGGCCCAGAAATCAGGATTTTAAAAAGATTCCCAGGTGATTCTAATGTGCAGCCAAGGTTGAGAACCACTGACCTAGAGCTTCTGTTTAGCTGTTAAGATAGGAGTTGAGTTTTAAAGCTCCCCACGTGAATCTGACATAAAGTTTGGGATCCACTGTCCTAGACCCTGGAAACTCAACGTGTGCTCTGTAGACCAGTGGCATTGGCAGCACCTGGGAGCTTGCTGGAGATGCAGAATCTACTGAATCAATCTGCATTTTAACAAGACCTCTAGTCTAACGGCTCACTGGCACATTCAAGTTTAAGAAGCAACGCCCTGGAGTTCTGCTGGCATTTCAGACTGGCCTTCCTTCAGCCAGCTGGCCCCAGAGATTCTCCTGTGTTTTTGCGCGCGCGCGCGCGCGCACACACACACACACACACACACACACGCACACACACACGCACACGCACACGCGCGCACACACACGCACACATGCACGCACACACGCACGCACACATGCACGCACACACGCACACACGCACACGCACGCACACACGCACACACGCACACACCACCTGGTTCCCATGTAGTCTGCACACTGGTTTCAACAGATGCAGACTGCCCCACCCTAATCTTGGTTTCAATTACCTGTCTACTTGGGCTCAATTACACAACCAGGTAGGCCCTTGGTGACACCCAGCCCGCCCTGAACAATGGCTGGGATGCACAGACTGTCAGACACACCCGCCCACAGACACCCACTGTCTTCAAAGGGCCCAGGGACTCACCTTGTACTTGCTGGGCACATCCATCTTGTTGCGGAGAAACTTGGCGAGATGCATGACGGTCATGGCTGCTGGACATCGCAGGAAGCGCACCCCTGTCTGCCAGGGGAGAGGCACCCAAGGGCTATGGGCCACCCAGGCACTCTCTCCCAGCCCACACCCCACTCCTGGGCAGGCCCCAGCACTCACCTTCTCCTTGTCCCCATCTCCATTCTCCAAGGGGCCCTTCTTCTCCTCCCGGTCCCTGGGGGAGGAGGTAGAACGAAGCTAGGGAGACCCTGGTTCAGGCAGGATTCCCCAGGACACACATCCAGAAGGCCCTCCCTTCCAGGGGAGTGGGGCTGGCTGGGAGAAGGAGGCGACCCAGCCTAGGACCCCAGAAGGACCAGGCATAGGACAGACTTGCCTGACGGTTTCGTAGAACTCGATAGAGAGGCTGACAATCTCATCATCACTCAGAGCCCCCTTCTCCTGCTCCAGCACCTCACCACGGTCCTCATTGGAGCCGTTGGGGACTGCAGAAGGAGAAAACCGGGGGGCTGCCTAGGGTGGGGGAGAGGAGCCCCACCAAGGGCCCAGAATCTCAGAGCCCAGTGGGGTGAGCCCAGCCACCCTCTGAGCCAGGGAAATGGCGTGGTGGTGCATGAAGGATGGACAGCCCAGTGCACCAGCCCTCAGGCCTGGGCAGAGCCACACTCACACTCACACGGTCCCAGGCCTGGGAGCACACACATGAGCTCACCTTCCGTCAGGGGGTACGCGGCATAGAAATCCCGCCGCCGTTTCATCTCATCTGAAGGAGGGAAGGAAATGGTGAGGAGGGAGCAACAGGCTGGGAAAGGGGGGGCGGGGGCAGGAGGAGGGAGGGTGTGTGGATACCTTTAAAAAGCCCAGGGACCAATTTGTAGACTATGTCTTGGAGGGTCTTGTCAGCTCTGGAAAAAAACATACAGGACCCTATCAACAACCCTCTTACCCCGATCTCCCCAGCCAGGGATCCCACTTCGCACCTCCCTTCCTTAGATTCAGAGCCTGGTCTCTACCCTCCACTACTTCTCAGCTGGATACAACCCAGAGGGAGGGAACAGGCCCAGGGCTTCCCCCCGCACCCGAGACCTGGGCTACAGGAACAAGGAGGGAGGGACAGAGGGAGCAGACCGGGAGGCCCGCAGGGGCTGGGGGGGCAGTGCCCGGCCCACCTGATGCTCAGCAGCGGCCGGGTTTTATGGACCTGCACGTCACACATGGGGCAGTACTTGTTGGTCTCCAGGTAGCGCACGATGCAGGTTTTGCAGACTTGGGGGATACGGAGAGAGGGAGGAGTCAGAGCCCCCTTGGTAACCAGGCCCAGCCCCCAGCCCCTCCGTTAGGGTTCAGGTCTCCCTTCTCCACCTGGTCCAGCAGTTTGGGCCCGTTCAGAGCGCCAACGTGGTGGTGTTGTCAGAGAGGGCAGACGCCCCGTACCCGTCCTTGGCGGAGGACAATCTTATGTGTCTATGTGTGTGGATGAGGCCAGTGTCATGTGTCGTGTATATGGTGAGCCCCAAGTCCCAAGCTCCCCTCATGGAGTACAAAACAGCAGCCAGCCGGCTACACATCTCCGGGGGCCCTTGACCTTTACCCCCGAGGCCACAGTGCACACCAGGGGGCACCTGCGTCTTCAGGGGGTGACATTTCAGCCACGGAGATTTCAGATGAAAGTCCCTGGAAGAACTCTGGGTCACAACCTCCAGCCTCCCCTCCCAGGCAGCCTCTCTGTGACCTGGGGACCCCCCACCCCACCAGTCAGAGACATGTTCACTCTTCAGGGCAGGGTCTGTGCTCCGCCTTCCCTGGGCAGTGCCCCCTCCCCCCTGACCCCCCCCAACCGAGGCAGAAGCTGCCCATCCTGAGAGGCAGCCCTCCACCCAGCTCACAGGAATGCAAGCACTCCACGATGGTAGTGGCATCGATGAAGTACCCCCCGCAGAGGGCGCACATGAGGTGAGGGTTCAGCTCCGTGATTTTGATCCGTGTGGTCCGATGCATGATGCCGGGGAGGGGGCTGGGGGGCTGGGGAGCGTCACCCTGGGAAGTAAAAGTGGAATTAGCAACCCAGAGATCCAACATCCTCTCCGAGGCCAAGGCCCTTCCTCTCGGCCTTGGATTGGGTGCACGTCAGCGTCCGGTTCTTTTTGGCCCCCTCTGGGTGTTTACTGGGTGCCGGCGGCTCTGGAGGGTCACCCCACCTCGAGCAACAAGATCAGCTCCACCTCAGCAGCAGCAGGAAAGACTGAGGTTAGACCACAGGAAGTACTACCCAACTTTCCAAAGGATGTGGGGAGGCAGGAAAATGGAAGAGAACAGACTTTTAAAATATCCCCGTAATCCCAATTCATATTCACTCAAGTGAGTGCTAGGAGCTAGGAGGAAACTCAAATAAGCTAGACCTCCAGAAATAAAAGAAGAGAAAGAATAAATTGCCCCTGCCCCTTTCACCCCCTCCAGACGCAAGGCCCCTGACTTGGTCTTTCTACTCCATCCTACCCTCCTTCCATCCCGTCTGCTCCTCCTCCAGGCAGCTGGAAGTTTGAAGGGGCCCCCCATCACTTGTCCTCTGGCTCTGCATCCAGCCCCAGCCCCAGAGCAGCAACCTGGAAGTCTACTGACCACGCCGGTTCCAGGCCTGACGCTCACGCAGGAAACACTGAGGAACACGCAGCTCCACCTGTGCCCACAAGCACACACATCCAGGACCCCCGCCCTGTGATGTCCCCACGTGGGCACTGCCACCCACCATCTCCCACCTGGTGACACCTCCTCTGCCACCTGCCACAGGCTCGGAGATGCCTGCCAAGCCTGGGCACAGAGTTCCTGTCCCCAGCCCACCTGAGCACCCAGCCAGGCTCTGGCAGGGTCCCGGGAGGTCAGGCAAAGCCCCGCTCTGGCTTGGCTGATGTTCTTCTTGACATAAAAACATCAAAGCTGCACAGAGAAGGGGTGGCCCCTCCCTTCTTCCTCTTTCCCAGAGTGAAAGCCCAAGGGGTGGGGCTTGAGAGGGTGGCCAAGTCCGGACTGCTCCTTTACAACACACACCCTTCTCTCCTTTCCAGAAACATTTCTAAAGACACCGCATTGGGTTTTCTAGGACCAGAAATTCACAGCCGGGATCAGCAGTTTCTATAGAGACCCCAGGATGAGTTTGGCCAGGACCCAAACAGCCCATAGAGGCTGGCCAGAGACCGAAAGAGATGGAGAGACACAAAGGCCACACATGGGAGAAACACCAACTAGCAGGGCAGACAGAGCGGAACAAGCAAGCGAGCCAGCCCAGAGAGCCAGCCAGCAGGGAGGCAGCGGCTGAGACCCGCAGGCCCGGCCAGCGGAAGGCGGCTCTGGCCATACACAGGGTGGACGCCTTCTGCCTTCCCTGCACGGGTTCCCCCTTCACAATTATGCAGCAGGCTTGCTGGTGACTCCACTGTTTGGTCGTTTCCATGGTAACTTCGTTCCTGGCAAGATGCCCAAATATTATTACAACCATCCAGAGGAAAGAACAAACTCGGAGTGGCCGTCTCACTGGGTGTGTGTAATTTCAGATGCATACGTGCTGTCTGGGCCTCCAAAGGTACTTTGTATGACTACGTGTCTGTGTCTGTGTCCAAATGCACCCGTGTGCGTGCACAGCCAGAAACAAAGCGTTTGGGGCTCTGATAATGCTGGGGGGTCCAGGTTGCCAACAGTGAATGTCACACCCCCTTCTCCTTCTCTCACATACACACGTACATGCACACAAACACGTAGCGCTTCACACTGCCCGGCCGCCTCATTCACACACTTGTGTTTTCAGACACTTACTGTTAAGAATTCCCATCTAGTTGCTGCCAAGCAGACTATGGGCTCAACACACAGGAGCTCCTGGGCACATGGCCTTAACCCTCACCCTCTCCCTCCCATGAGCATTTGTGAGCCTTCAGACTGAGTATCCCTCAGGTCCTTCTAGATGTGCAGGTGAAGGAAAGAGCTGTGTCGCCTACAGAGGAATGAAATGTTCCCGCATCTCCCGTTTAAGAAATGAGCTCCCCTGTGACTCTCCTTGCTCCACCCACCCCATCCCCAGAGTCTCAGATTGTTACCTCTGGGGCTGGGGAGAAGCCATGATTGGTTCCTCACCTGATTGCCATGGTTACCTGTTCCCCCAAGGACCTCTTCCCCATCTCATCCCCCCACCAGGAAGCCTCAGGGCCCTACAACTGACACCCAATTCCTCCCCAGCTGCAACTGGCTGGTGTGTTGTGAGAAGCAGAAGGAAGTGGGGTGATAGGTGGCTGGACCGTCAGCATCATCACTTTAAGAAAGAGGCGGGGAGCCCTGGCCGGTTTGGCTTGGTGGATAGAGCATCGGCCTGCAGACTGAGGGGTCCCAGGTTCGATTCCGGTCAAGGGCACATGCCCGGGTTGCGGGCTCGATCCCCAGTGCGGGGCGTGCAGGAGGCAGCCGATCAGTGATTCTCTCTCATCATTGATGTTTCTATCTCCCTCTCCCTTCCTCTCTGAAATCAATAAAAATATACTTAAAAAAGAAGAAGAAAAAAGAAAGAGGCTGGGAGATGGGAATAGCCCAAGGGGAACAGAAAAGGAGAGACAAATCCAAGAAGCAGAAAAGGGAAGCCAAGGGCCACTAGGAAGTGGCCTGTGTGGAGTTCTGGGGGCTCTACCAGGTCAGCCCCAACCATATCCCCACAGTGGGCCTGAGTACCATCACCCACCTCCAATGCCTTCCCCCAACCGGGGGCCAGGTCCCTCAGTGTCTCCTGTCCCCAAACCACTGACTTTACAAGGGCACAACCGCTGGGCGGCCCATGCTTCTGGCCCGGGAGCCCCTGGAGCCCCTGGTCTCGGCTACAGAGGCAGGAAAGGAGATTGACCAGCACCCAATTCCCACTCCTCCTTGCCTCTCAAGCCTGGCATTTGTCTTTCCTCGCCCTCAAAGTCCCCTACTAATAAAGACCACCCTGCATCTCTTTGTTTTAACCAAGCTCTTTCCGGAAGCTCCCCCAAGATTTAGGCCTCTCTTGCCATCAGTTTCTTTCACGCTCCCCTGCAGAAACAGCCGATCTCTGACAACCCAGAGGCCCCTCTGCTCCTTTGGATGCACAGGTGCAGCGTTCTTTGCTCTGCTTTTCCTCCAAATGAAAGTAGCCCGACTCCCTCACTAGAAAACCCCCAGGTCTTGGGAAAAGTCACTCAAGGTCACACATCCAGACGTCTAGAATCGCAGAGGGAGAAGGAGTCTTAGAAAGCACCTTGTCCATCATTTCATTTTACAGATGGAGAAACTCAGAAAGCAGTGGCTTGCCTAACAGTTACACAGCAACACAGTGGCAGTCCTAGGACTAGACTGGCTCCCAGTCCGGTGCGCCTTACACACTGGCACCTCGGCCAATAAGCCTGGCCTTCCTCCACCCAGGAAGGGGGATGTAGGACGCCATGTTCCCTGGAAGACAGACCACTCGGTGAGCCTCCTAGGACGGGTCACAGTCCGGCCAAAGATGACAATCAGCACACATTCTCACCTTGAAGTACGAAGAGGGAGCAGAGCCCTCGTCCCCCTTCCATGGTGCAGATGGGGAAACTGAGGCCGTACAGAAGCACAGCGAGCCAGAGTGCACTGTCAAGACTCAGACCCCAGGATCTAGGAGTCCTTTCCTCTCCCAACAGTGTAGGTGCAACTGTGTAAGCCCCATGGATGTGGGAGGAACATGGGCAGTCCACCTGGGAGCACGGTTAACGCCTCGATCTTCCCTGGATGAGGATCTGCTCCCCAACAAGAGCACTAAAAAAAGGCTTCTAGCCTCCTGGTGCTGGGCTCACTCCATCCTCCCTCCCTTCCCCACCTCCTAGCTTCCGAAGATCAAACAAAGACAAAAATCCAAAATATACACACAGAGCCAGACACACCTCCTCCATCTCCCTCACACTCACTACACACAAGGCCAGAGACACAGCACGTGCACACGCACACACACACACACACACAGCCAGACAGATACTTGGCCAGACACACACACAGACACACCCCATCACACAGGGCCAGACCAGAGCCCGGCCCACATCTGCCAGATGCATATAGCCACCTCCACCCCCATCCAGGAGCACACAGTCTGACATCCATCCCCGGCTGAAACCAGAGCTGCAAACACACACTAGCCTTTTGTGCATCCCTGGCCCACCCAGTGTAAATTATAACACAGGTCTCCTGGCAACAAAGACAGTGCGGCTCCTCACCTCCACTCTGGGGGCCAGAGCCTGGAAGAGTGGGGTGGGCATCTGACCTGCACGAAGATATAACCTCTTCCTCTTCAGATTGTCTCCATTCCCATGGCAACAGCTCCATCCACCAAGATCTCTCCGGCAAGGCCAGGGCAGCAGAGAGCCCCTTTCCTGCCCTCGCCTCCCCCCCAGGACTTCAACTTGAACCCCACCCAGCTACACAGTGTCTGGATGCTAAGCCCCAGGTCTGTTCCCTGCCTCATTCCAAAGACGGCTCTAAGAACGAACGCAACCCCCAACTCCAAATGAGGGAACCCCTGGGAAAACCTCACCACCAAAACACTGCAACAGAGCCGGCTTTATGCTTCTTTTCCAGGTGCTAACACCTTGGAACAGAGTGGAAGGGGGAGGAAGGCGAGAAAGAGTTTCAGGAACAGATGCAAACTGCAAGAGGCCCAGAGAGGGAGGCATCAGAATGAAGTGGGAGGCGACCAAGGGACGCCCCCTCCCCTCCCCCCTACAGGAAGCCCTGGAGAGACTGAGGCAACAGGGGTGAGGGTGGGGGATTAAGGGGTAACTCTTGAGAGACAAAGACCAGGGGCACTTCCACAATATTTTCAGGCACATTCACCACCCCGGCCTCTTCCAGCCATCCGGAGCGATTCTGGGCAGATGGGGGCCTGGGGGAGGGGGGGAGGCATGCCTGGGCCCAACGCGAAGACAGGAAGGACAGGGGTGTCTCCTT